AAAGGAGAGCAGAAGAGGAAGACTTGGACCTGGTAGTCATGGGATGAATATTGAGAGAAGAATGAGAAGAAGTAGCAGAAATAGGCTGCACAAAAGGAAGATCAATAGTGAGAGAGGAAATAGGAATAGAAGTAGGGACAGCAGAAGATGGAGAGAAAGCAGAGGCGGGCAAACTAGGCAACACAGGAGCAGCAGCAGGAGGCTGTTGAGCAGCAGTAGACTGAATAGCAGCAGGCGGACTGGAAGAAACAGGAAACTGAAAACTGGTGTAGGAAAAGAAGAAACAGACGGATCATAAGACTGAACTGATGGAGCAGAGGGTGAAACAGAAGCTGCAGCAGGTGGAGAAGAGGACCAGAAAAAAGAATGTAGTTGAGGAAGAGTAGGTGGAGAGTGAAGTGGAGAGGTAGAAATAGATGAAGTCAGAAAAGGGAAGAGTGATTCATCAAAAGTAACATGTCGAGACAAATAGATTTTTCCAGAAATAGGATCAAGGCAACGATAGCCCTTGATAGAGGGATGATAACCAATGAAGACACAAGGAATGGACTTAGGGGCGAGCTTATGAGAAGCATAGGGTTGAAGCCAGGGAAAGCATCTACAACCAAAGCTTTTAAGAAACGCAAAATCAGGAGTATGATGAAACAGGACCTCATACGGAGTTTGATGTTGAAGTTTAGAACTAGGCAATCTGTTAATAAGAAAAACAGAAGTAGCAAGAACATCAAACCAATAAGCAAGAGGAAGACCTGATTGCTGTAGCAAAGCAATAGTGGTGGTGACAAGATGCCTATGTTTTCTCTCGGCAACTCCATTTTGGGAAGAAGTGTGTGGACAACACATTTGATGAATAATACCATGGGTTTTAAGAAAAGTTTCAAATTGAGAACTAGTGAAATTCCATGAATTTGGCAAACACCTGACTTTTATAACAAAGAGGATAAACCCAAGTAAATTTGCTAAATTCATCAATGAACAAAACATAGTATTTAAAACCAGAAATAGATGGAGAGAAAGGGCCCCAAACATCACTATGAACAAGAGAAAGGGGCTTATTTACAGTGGAATTAGACAAAACAAAAGAAAGTCTATGACTCTTGGCCACACTACAATGAGGACACAAAATCTTATTAGAAGATGAAGTAGTAGGCAACTGAAATTTATTAACAAGATATTGCAGCTTTTGTGGAGATGGATGACCAAGTCTGGTATGCCATGTAGCAGTAGCCAAACAAGCAGAAGAAGAATGCTGGGATGATGAAACTTGTGAGGATGATGATCCTTGTGAAGAAGATGAAGGCCACTGATAAAGGCCATGACTATACATACCTCTGAAGAGAGGTATCTTGGTGGTCTTGTCCTGAACCACAAATGATTTGTCATCAAAAGTGACAGTACAATTATTATCAGCAGTCAATTGATGAACTGAAAGAAGATTAGATGATATATGTGGAACATGAAGTACATTAGTCAATTTGAAAGGAAAAGAAGGAGTTGGAAGAATACCATTACCGGTGTTGTGAATAGGAAGTTGACTACCATTCCCAACAGTCACATGGTCTTGGCCAGGATAAGGACTATGAACTTGAAGATTAGTAAGATCAGGAGTGACATGATTTGTGGCAGCAGAGTCCACATACCAATTAGGTAATGCAGAAGATGAAGATGTAAGAAAAACAGGTTTATCAGTTGGAAAAACAGGTTTATCAGTTGAAGGTTGTGGTGAATATGAAGTATCTAGTCTATGCCAGCATTCAAGAGCAGTATGATTCGGTTTGCCACAGATCTGACATACCAAAGAAGAGGAAGAGGAAGATGCTGATGGATGATGAAAGGATAGTTTGTGGTGAATAGGAAGTATCCAGTCTGTGCTAGCATTCAAGAGCAGTATGATTCGGTTTGCCACAGATCTGACATACCAAAGAAGAGGAAGAGGAAGATGCTGATGGATGATGAAAGGATGAAGATCTTCCTCCTCGACCTCGACTGAAAGTATTTCTAGAGAAATATCTACCTCCTCCTTTATGAGAAGAGCCTCTGTATGATGATCTATTTCCACGACTACCAGCCTGATAAGAAAATGACTGGTTAGAAGTCTCATGTCGAGTTGCAGTATAAGCAACAGTGAGATCTGACGATGAAGATTTATGATCGGCTTCAATATGCAAAGCTTCTGAACAGAGGAGAGAAGAAAGATCCTCCATAGTAATGGCCTCTGATCGAGCTCGAATAGCTACTTTTAAAGCATTATATTCAGATGGCAATCCATTTAGAGTAATCAAAACAAGATCCTCATCCTCAATAGGAGAGGCAGCAAGTGCGAGCTGATCAGCAAGACTTTTGATCTGAGCAAGATAGTCTTCCATGGACTCAGATTTCTTCATGATACTACTGAGTTTGTTCTTGAGTTGGTGTATATGAGATCTGGAGAGTGATGTGAAGCGTTTATCAAGATATGTCCAGATTTCTTGACAGCTTTTGCAATGAAACACAGATGTGAACACCGTGGGAGTTAGAGTTGCTGTAATACAACTTAACAAATGTGCATCGATCTGTGTCCAACTCAAAAACTCAGGATTGATAACATTTTTGCCTTCTGAATCTGTGATTGTTGCAGATGGACAAGCACAAGTGCCATCCACATAACAGAGAAGATTTGTAGCTCTAAGTATATTTTGGAGATGTGTTTTCCACACAATGTAGTTTGTAGAATCCAATTTCACAGTGACAAAAGAATTGAGATTTGAAATTAGAAGTGTGAGATTAGGAGGAAGAGAAGCCATTGAAACAGATTCAAGAACTTGAACTCAAGAATTCAATGTGAGAAAGAAGATGAAGAAGGATCAATACTCGTTGGAGTAGAGTAGCTCTGATACCATGACAAGAAACTGAAAACTTCCATTCATCCCTTTAATCAATCAGTACATCTATATTTATATACAAGAGTGGAACCGACTTACTAACTATTAGTCCACTGCCTCTACAATCTATACAGTCATATATCACTATAACTAATTCTGTTATACATTCATATATCACTATAACTAATTCTGTTACAATTCTGGGAAAGTATCCTTTGGTTTTGAACTGAAGTTGGTGAAGTAGTTAAGTAGTTGGGATAATCTTATCAAGAAATAGGGAATGAAAGGACTCTTGGTCCATAAATCTAATTGTGAATTTTCTTTGCTCAAAGGTCCACTCTTTAAAAAACATTGTCCATAAGGATAACCTTACGTAAAATGACCAAATTATTCATGTATATATATGTTATAACGTGAAACCAAATCAAAACTCTTTCTTCTCTCCGTCTCCTCGTCCTAATACCACTGTTCTCCCTCTGGTTTGCTGTTATACTGAACTGAAGGTAGTATAATCTTATCACATATGACATGCCGTTAATACATCAACTATACACAACATACGTCTATAAATTGATAAAAAATATTAAATATTTCACGACACTGTCTTTATTGATATGAAATATACCCACTTACCATTATTGTAGTAGTGTAAGGTAAACAATAATGGATTTAATATTGCAAACAATGGTTCCACCACTGCATATTCCACGGTATATATTTGATTGACTGGGCTAAAAATTGTGTTGACACATGTTTTTCATGAAGATCACACAGTAGATTTTGCAAAGTAGGTAGAAATTGGAAACTATGTTTTAAATTCGATTTCTCCAAACCCTATTTTTTCAATTTCTTTCATGCTTTTGTTTTTATTTTTATTTTTATTTTTCTTGTGCTTATTTTTTCTTGATGTGCTCTAAAGTGGAAGGCAACATCACTCTCTCATTCCTCTCTCGGGGGTCTGAGAAGTGGACGCAGCATGGGATTCTTTGGATTCTCTTTTTTGGTATGATTTGACGCGAATCTTCTTGTAACACGACACAATTTTGATAAATGAATAAGACAGAGATATGGCCCAAACGATCCGCGGTGAATAAGAACTAAGAGAACCTCTCAAATAGAATTTTTCTTTTTTTGTGAGCAGTCTTATCTTCTAATAAAGTTATTAGTGTAAAAAACTCATCCAAAAAAAGTGACGTGTTGTTCAGATTCAATTTTTATATGATAGAATTTGCACTTAAAATAATTTTAAATTACATAATTTTTTTTGAATATATTTTAATAAAGTTTGTAAATTTCTAGCATTGATGCCATATAATAGACCCATCATGTGACTCAATTATTCACCATGGGCGGGGTTTTGTTGTGTTGATTGGTGAGGGCTATTTTAAATTCAAATAATTCAATATCATAATATGTGAAAATTCAAGTTGATATGATATTAACACTCACTTAATCAAATGATATGTGTTTTAGAAAAATGAGCAATTTATTCTTAAATTACATTTACCATTTATTTTATCAATATATGATCCAACGTACAACTTTATTTTTGAGCTTATTTGGAAAGTTGATTAAAAGTCAACTTTTAACTTTTAACCTATTTTTAGTCACATCATCTACATATTTTTTATACTCATACAAACACAAACCAAAAAAAAAAAAAAATTAAAAATTAACTTTTAACCAATTTCTCAAAACATCCCTAAATATCTATTTGATAAATCCTATAATGCCGACGATTTAAATAGTAAGCGAAGGTGGACCCCAGCTAAAAGACCGTCTATAGTGGCTTCGTTTCAATCCCAAAAAAGTTGGGATGCTGGTTCACAAAAGCAAAAGCAACTTTAAAGCAAACAAAAGCATGCTCTCCTTTCCTCTCTGTCATGACTGAGTGCTTTTTATAAGGGACCTAGCTCTCATTTTCAAATTCAATCATACCCACATGCAAAGAAGGAAACAGAGTAACTAGCAAGAAGAACTTTGTAGTTTCTAATATGTAAGTTCTATGTTGTTGTAAACATTTTTTTAAAAAAATTTTAATTTTAATTTCATTCTGATTTATTTCTCTCTCAGCACAAATATGCTACTGATATTCTCCACAAGGTTGGTATGATCAATTGTAAACCATGTTCTTCGCCCATGGCCTCTAAATCTGAGCCTCCTTCAGACACCTTGGTACCCTTTTCTCAGCCATCCTTGTATCGAAGTATTGTTGGCGCCTTACAATATCTCACTATTACCAGACCGGACATCTCTTTTGCTGTCAACCATGCATCTCAGTTCATGCATGCTCCTACTGTTGCACATTTTAATACTGTCAAGCGGTTACTTCGTTACATTCAGGGTACTCTTCATCATGGTTTATTCTTTACTCCAGGCTCTCTGAATTTGCATGCTTTTTCTGATTCTGATTGGGCCGGCGATGTTCTTGATCGTAAGTCTACCACTGGGTATTGTGTCTTTCTTGGTTCTAACTTGATTTCGTGGTCCGCAAAGAAACAATCCACTGTTTCTCGGTCCTCCACCGAAGCTGAGTACAGGGCTCTTGCTCAAGCTTCTGCTGAACTTCAATGGCTTCGCATGCTTCTTCAAGAGCTCTTTCTTCATTCTGCAACTCCTGTTTTATGATGTGACAATCTCTCCGCCATATCTCTTGCCTCTAATCCTGTTTTCCATGCCCGCACAAAGCATATCGAGGTGGATTATTATTTTATCTGGGAGCAAGTTCTTTCTCACAAAGTTGTGGTTAAACATGTGTCTTCCTCTGATCAAGTGGCTGATCTGTTTACCAAGCCCCTTCCCGTGGCTCATTTTTCTTATCTTCTTCCCAAGCTTATGGTGCGTGCCTTACCCATTCGCTTGCGGTTTATCAAAAGTAACATGTCGAGACAAATAGATTTTTCCAGAAATAGGATCAAGGCAACGATAGCCCTTGATAGAGGGATGATAACCAATGAAGACACAAGGAATGGACTTAGGAGCGAGCTTATGAGAAGCATAGGGTTGAAGCCAGGGAAAGCACCTACAACCAAAGCTTTTAAGAAACACAAAATCAGGAGAATGATGAAACAGGACCTCATACGGAGTTTGATGTTGAAGTTTAGAACTAGGCAATCCGTTAATAAGAAAAACAGAAGTAGCAAGAGCATCAAACCAATAAGCAAGAGGGAGACCTGATTGTTGTAGCAAAGCAATAGTGGTGGTGACAAGATGCCTATGTTTTCTCTCGGCAACTCTATTTTTGGGAGGAGTGTGTGGACAACACATTTGATGAATAATACCATGGGTTTTAAGAAAACTTTCAAATTGAGAACTAGTGTACTCTCCACCACCATCAGTGCGAAATATTTTAAGCTTAGTCTCAAATTGATTTTCAGCAAACACCTTAAATTCCATGAATTTGGAAAACACCTGACTTTTATAACAAAGAGGATAAACCCAAGTAAATTTGCTAAATTCATCAAGGAACAAAACATAGTATTTAAAACCAGAAATAGATGGAGAGAAAGGGCCCCAAACATCACTATGAACAAGAGAAATGGGCTTATTTACAGTGGAATTAGACAAAACAAAAGAAAGTCTGTGACTCTTGGCCACACTACAATGAGGACACAAAGTCTTATTAGAAGATGAAGTAGTAGGCAGCTGAAACTTATTAACAAGATATTGCAGCTTTTGTGGAGATGGATGACCAAGTCTGGTATGCCATGTAGCAGTGGCCAAACAAGCAGAAGAAGAATGCTGGGATGATGAAACTTGTGAGGATGATGAACCTTGTGAAGAAGATGAAGGCCACTGATAAAGGCCATGACTATACATACCTCTGAAGAGAGGTATCTTGGTGGTCTTGTCCTGAACCACAAATGATTTATCATCAAAAGTGACAGTACAATTATTATCAGAAGTCAATTGATGAACTGAAAGAAGATTAGATGATATATGTGGTACATGAAGAACATTAGTCAATTTGAAAGGAAAAGATGGAGTTGGAAGAATACCATTACCGGTGTTGTGAATAGGAAGTTGACTACCATTCCCAACAGTCACATGGTCTTGGCCATGATAGGGACTATGAACTTGGAGATTAGTAAGATCAGGAGTGACATGATTTGTGGCGCAGAGTCCACATACCAATTAGGTAACGCAGAAGATGAAGATGTAAGAAACACAGGTTTATCAGTTGAAGTTTGTGGTGAATAGGAAGTATCCAGTCTGTGCCAGCATTCAAGAGCAGTATGATTCGGTTTGCCACAGATCTGACATACCAAAGAAGAGGAAGAGGAAGATGCTGATGGATGATGAAAGGATGAAGATCTTCCTCCTCGACCTCGACTGAAAATATTTCTAGAAAAATATCTACCTCCTCCTTTATGAGAAGAGCCTCTGTATGATGATCTATTTCCACGACTACCAGCCTGATAAGAAGATGACTGGTTAGAAGTCTCATGTCGAGTTGCAGTATAAGCAACAGTGAGATCTGACGAAGAAGATTTATGATCGGCTTCAATATGCAAAGCTTCTGAACAGAGGAGAGAAGCAAGATCCTCCATAGCAATGGCCTCTGATCGAGCTTGAATAGCTACTTTTAAAGCATTATATTCAGATGGCAATCCATTTAGAGTAATCAAAACAAGATCCTCATCCTCAATAGGAGAGGCAGCAAGTGCGAGCTGATCAGCAAGACTTTTGATCTGAGCAAGATAGTCTTCCATGGACTCAGATTTCTTCATGATACTACTGAGTTTGTTCTTGAGTTGGTGTATATGAGATCTGGAGAGTGATGTGAAGCGTTTATCAAGATATGTCCAGATTTCTTGACAGCTTTTGCAATGAAACACAGATGTGAACACCGTGGGAGTTAGAGTTGCTGTAATACAACTTAGCAAATGTGCATCGATCTGTGTCCAACTCAAAAACTCAGGATTGATAACATTTTTGCCTTCTGAATCTGTGATTGTTGCAGATGGACAAGCACAAGTGCCATCCACATAACAGAGAAGATTTGTAGCTCTAAGTATATTTTGGAGATGTGTTTTCCACACAATGTAGTTTGTAGAATCCAATTTCACAGTGACAAAAGAATTGAGATTTGAAATTAGAAGTGTGAGATTAGGAGGAAGAGAAGCCATTGAAACAGATTCAAGAACTTGAACTCAAGAATTCAATGTGAGAAAGAAGATGAAGAAGGATCAATACTCGTTGGAGTAGAGAGGCTCTGATACCATGACAAGAAACTGAAAACTTCAATTCATTTCTATAATCAATCAGTACATCTATATTTATAATACAAGAGTGGAACCGACATACTAACTATTAGTCTACCGCCTCTACAATCTATACATTCATATATCACTATAACTAATTCTGTTACAATTCTGTTAGAGCTAGGGAAGTTATCCTCTGGTTTGCTTGACTTGGGTTATACTGTCTTGAACTTGAGTTGGTTGAACTGAAGTTGGTATAGTAGATTTATTAATTATGATAGATTACAGAGAACTTAACCAAATATAAGGGGATAGACATGGTAAAATTGCCAATGGTGAACTTAAAAGAACTCCAAACACATAATACATACACAATCCTAAGCAACGTTCAAAATTCATATGGCACCATCATTGTAAAATTGATCACACACAACTGATTTTAATAGTCCTAACAATATTTATAAACCTATATAAACATAATACCGACTGTTGTTTCGCATCATTTTCACAACCTCTAATAAAAAATATCTTTGTCAATCATCAATCTAGATAATCAAATTTGAGTTCCTCCAATAACACATTTATAAAAAAAAGAAACATTGTTGTGAAAATTCTCAAATAAAATTGAGTAACTAAACTTATAAACTAATTGATCACACTGCTGTTGTAAATTCCCAATTTGAAAACTTTATAAGCTATCAGCAGCAGAAAATGATGGGATCGTGTAAAATGGTTGATGAAACCATAAAACTCTACACTTCTTCAAATCTCAGGCAATTGTGCCATTTGTCATGCATAAGATCCGCACACACAAATTACCCATCTAAAAATATAAAAATATGTAAAATCATCATTTTAATATTATGTTTTTTATCAGTTGAATTTACATAACATAATTTAATCTAAATCTAATTATATTTGACAAATACATAGAAAAATTTACATTTAATATTATTGAACAATAATTATGGCAAGTTGTTCTTTTTTGTTGGATATGCACCTCATTGACTTTGCGTAAGAGTTTAAGACATGCTTCCCTCAATATTTTTAGGTTCTATTACATTTATACTCTTAAAATAATATTTACTTTAATTCATAAACTATAAATTGAGTCTTTAAGTCCAAAATATATAATCAAAACTATTTAGTATTCTAAACTCAACATAAATCTACTTAAGTCCCTAAATTTAGTCATGAAATGATTATAAAAACAAAATATAAACCCGTAAGTATTTAAATTAGTAAAAATCCTATCTGTTAATTTTGTTTAAAAAAATATTAAAAATATTATTTCTTTAACGTCTCAATCTTATAGATGAATTATATCTAAGCCCTTTTCAACAGACTAAGAATCTAAAATTTGTAACTCATTTTTTTAAAAACAAAAATTTAACTAGCATAGAGCTTTTTTACTAAATAAAATACTTACGGGTTATATTTTGTTTTTATACTATTTCATACTAAATTTAGGCAGCTTAAAGATTCTATTTGATAGCTTAGAAACTAAAATAGGTTTTGTTTATTTTTAGGAACTTAATAGAACTCAACTGATAGTTCTATGATTAAATAAATACATAATTAAGAGTATAAAATGTAATAAACCTAAAAATATGATGGTGAAGCATGTCTTAAACTCTACCAAAGTTCCAATGCAGGTGCAATCCAACAAAAAGAGACACACCTTGCCCATAATATTTTCAAATAATATCTAAAATGCATAATTTTTTCTATATATTTGTAAATATAATAGATACTTTACATAAATATATTAATACTTAACATGATAAAAAATAATATAAAAATGCATGATTTTAAACATTCATTTTTAATATTTTTTAGAATGGTAATTGTTGTGGGTTCATTGCATGCATCGACAAACTGGACACAAATATTGCCTTGGGATTTAAAAGTTTGACAGTTTATGGTTTCCAGCTCAACCATTTCCTACGACCCCTCATTTTTTGCCTGCTGATTAGCTTATAAAAGTTTTCAACATTGGAAATTTACAACAAGAGGTGATTCAATTAGTTTATAAGTTTTAGTTACTCAATTTATTTTGAAAAATTTTCAACATATTTCTTTTTTTTTATAAATTGTGTTAATGGAAAACTCAAATATTGAATTACTTCTAATTTGACTTGAACAAAGATAATTTTTATTAGAGTGTGAAATTGCAAAACATCTATTCAATGTATTATACGTTTGTCAATAATTGGTAGCCTATTAAAAATCAATTTGAGTGATCAATTTACAATGTGGTGCCCAATTGAATTTTGAGACGTGTGCTTAGGTTGTATCTGTATTCATGTTGGACGTCTAAAAGTATCACCATTTGGCAATTTTAACCATGTCTATCCTTATATGGTTTAAGTTCTCGTAATCTGATCATAATTAATAAATCTACTCTAACCACTTCAGTTCAAC